CATCATAAAGGTCTAAAGAGATTTATTATAGCATTTTATAATAATATCCCTTTAAATAAACTGTTCTAAAAAGTAATTTCTAATACCCTTAGACTTTAAAAACCAAAGTTGTTTAAAAAAGATTAATGAAATTTAAGAAGACAGCCTAGTCACAGAGTTAAATGAAAAACTGCAATTAAAATGTTTAATGAGATATGTGCATTACTGGTTATTAGCTTAAAACATGACCAATGGGATGTGCAATCTGTAAGTTTTCTTTAAAATGACAATGCTCAGGACCTTAACACTTCATGCTAAACCACACTATACATTATAGTCTTTGTATACTTAAAGATATTTCAAGTATAAAACTTTCACTTCCAGTTTTGTGATTCAGTTTACATTAGCTACTTTAGACAAATGCCAAAACCAAAAAAACCCTGCAATAATTGTGCATAAATATTGTAACACTAAATAAATGTACAGGTTGGGAGAAGAATGATAGAAAGTCAAAACTAAAGGTCAATACTGTATAATGGTTTTAGTAACATTTGAAATGGAAAAGTCTTGCCTGGATTATGGGTGGCTATTCACATTGATTTCTCTGAAAATGTCTTTAGTTTTTGTTTCTTTAAAACACATGAATATAAAGCAAATATCATAATCAAATATCACATGTGAAATAAAGACTCCCATTTCAGCTATTCTTGTCATTTAGACATTATTTTAGACTGTATATAGAAAACTTTTTATCTGTCATTGATTATCTATCTTTCATTCATTTTTAAAATTAAGTTAAAAATTAATTTAAATTGTTTAAATTAAAAAATTCTGTGCTTAATAAAACATATTTTAAAACATACCAGTACTCAGAAAGTATATTAACCTATGTATACCTTTCTGAAAATCTCTTGAAGAAACACCCCAGAATTTGAATGAAGAAAGGTAAATATGTGATATATAAATATATGGTGACAATAAAGCTAGTGAAACTTGTTAAGTTTAAACAATCATTGCTAACATGGCTATAAATTGTTAAGGATTTAGAAAATAGAAGGTACAAAAGGTAAAACCATATGAATTGTGAAATTTTTTGTTCTACTTCTATGAAAAATGCCATTGGTAATTTGATAGGGATTGCACTGAATCTGTCGATTGCATTTGGCAGCATAGTCATTTTCACAATACTGATTCTTACTACCCAGGAACATGGAATATCTCTCCATCTGTTTATGTTGTCTTTGATTTCTTTCATTAGTATCTTATAATTTTCTATATACATTCTTTTGTCTTCTTAGGTAGGTTTATTCCTAGATATTTTATTCTTTCTGTTGCAGTGGTGAATGGGATTGAGTCCTTAATTTCTCTTTCTGATTTTTCATTGTTACTATATAGGAATGCAAGTGACTTCTGTGTATTGATTCTGTATCCTGTGACTTTGCTAAATTCATTGATTAGCTCTAGTAATTTTCTGATAGTTATCTTTAGGGTTTTCTACGTATAGTATCACGTCATCTGCAAACAGTGAGAGCTTTACTTCTTTTCCGATCTGGATTCCTTTTCTTTCTTTTTCTTCTCTGATTGCTGTAGCCAGGATTTCCAAAACTTGTTGAATAACAGTGGTGAGAGTGGATGCCCTTGTCTTGTTCCTGATCTTAGGGGGAATGCTTTCAGTTTTTCACCATTGAGAATAAGGTTTCCTGTGGGCTTATCATATATGGCCTTTACTATGTTGAGGTAGGTTCCTCCTATGCCCATTTTTTGAAGAGTTTTAATCATAAACGGGTACTGAATTTTGTCAAATAGATGGCTAACAAACACATGAAAAGATGCTCAACATCGCTCATTATTAGAGTAATGCAAATCAAAACTACAATGAGATATCACCTCACACCAGTTAGAATGGCCATCATCAAAAAGCCTACAAACAATAAATGTTGGAGAGGGTGTGGAAAAAAGGGAACACTCTTGCACTGTTGGTGGGAATGTAAATCGATACAGACACTATGGAAGACGATATGGAGATTCCTTAAAAAACTAGGAAGAAAACCACCATATGATCCAGCAATCCCACTCCTAGGCATATACCCTGAGGAAACCAAAGGTGAAAAAGACACATGTACCCCAATATTCACTGTAGCATTACTTACAATAGCTAGAACATGGAAGCAACCTAGATATCCACTGATAGATGAATGGATAAAGAAGCTGTGGTACATATACACAATGGACTATAACTCAGCCATAAAAAGGAACACATTTGAGTCAGTTCTTATGAGGTGGATGAACCTAGAGCCTCTTATACAGAGTGAAGTAAGTCAGAAAGAGAAAGATAAATATTGCATACTAACACATATATATATATGGAATCTAGAAAGATGGTACTGATGAATTATTTGCAAGGCAGCAGTGGAGAGACAGACATAGAGCCTTATGGACATGGGGAGAGGGGAGGAGGGGGTGAGATGTATGTAGAGAGTACCATGGAGACTTACGTTACCGTATGTTAAATAGATAGCCAACAGGAATTTGCTGTAAGTCTCAGGGGACTCAGACAGGGGCTCTGTATCAACCTGGAGGGGTGGGATGGGGAGGGAGGTGGGAGGGAGGCTCAGAAGGGAGGGCACATATGTACACCTATGGCTGATTCATGTTGATATTTGACAGAAAACAAAATTCTGTAAAGCAATTATCCTTCAAAAAAAAAAAAGGTAAAACTAAGTCAATCATCTAGAAATAAATTTCCACATTATTTCAACAAAATCTGGAAGCAGGCAGGGGAATAAAAGCTTTTGAAAGGTCTGATCTTATTTGGGAAGTGAAAGGTGAAGATACTGTTAAAATTTTAATAATCCAAGGAAATACAGGTTCATGTATGTTTGTTAGAAATTTGCGTTAAGTATTAGTAGAATCAGAAATGAGAAGCTCTAAAAGCTGACAGGAATAAGAGGAAAAAAATTAAGAGCCAGGAGCTAGTTCTGATTCAGGGGAGCTAGGGAACCCCTCCAATTCTGTAGCCCAGAAAGTCTCCTGTCTAAAGAGCATTCTGTGGATCTGTGCTGTTGTGGGAATCAGTAAGGGCACAGGCAGAAGGTTAATTTTATCCTTCTGCCTGTGCAGAAGACCTAAACAGACATTTCTCCAAACAAGACATATAGATGGCCAAGAGGCACATGAGGAGATGTTCAACATCTCTGGTTATTAGATAAATGCAAATCAAAACTATAATGAGATATCACCTCATACCTACCAGTATGGCTATCATCAAAAAACCCACAAACAATAAATGGTGGAGAGGGTATGGAGAGAAGGGAACCCTCCTACAATGTTGGTGGGACTGTAAATTGGTACAGCTACTATGGAGAACAGTATGGAAGTTCCTTAAAAAACTAAAAACAGAGTTACCATATGACCCTGCAATCCCACTCCTGGGCATATGTCTGAAGAAAAACATGATCTGAAAAGATATATATATATACCCTAATGTTCATTATAACACTGTTTACAGTGACCAAGACATGGAAGCAACCTAAATGTCCATCGACAGAGAATGGATAAAGAAGATGGGGTAGATATATACAATGGAGTATTACTTGGCCATTAAAAAGAATGAAATAATGCCATTTGCAGCAACATTGATGGACCTAGAGACTGTCATGCTAAGTGAAGTAAGTCGGACAGAGAAGGAGAAATATCATATGACATTCCTTATACGTGGACTCTAAAAATAAAGGATACAAATGAGCTTACTTACAAAACAGAAAGAAACTCACAGACTTAGAGAATGAACTTATGGTTGCCAGGGGGAAGGAAGTGGGGGAAGGGATAGTCAGGGAGTTTGGGATGGACATGTACACACTGCTATATTCAAAATGGATAACCAACAAGGACCTTTTGTATAGTATAGGGAACTGTGTTCAGTGTTATATGTCAGCCTGGATAGGAGGGGAGTTTGGAGAAGAATGGATACTTGTGTATGTATGGCTGAGTCCCATGGCCGTTCACTTGAAACTATCACAACATTGTTAATCAGCTATACTCCATACACAATAAAAAGTTTAGAAAAAAATAAAGTTACACAGAATAAAAATTAAAAAATTACCCTGGAACTAATAAGTGAGTTGAACAAGGTTGCAGTATATAAGATCAATGCACAAAAATCAACTGCATTTCTATACATTAGAAACAAGTATGTGGAAACTAAATTAAAAACACAGTGACATTTATAATCATGTCAAAGAAAACAAAATACTTAGGCACACACTTAAAACATGTTCAGGATCTCTATGATGAACATAAGTGTTAGGTGGAGGAGATGGCAGATGTAGAGTAGAATGCCAACTAAAAAATGCAGCAGTGTTGGAAACAGAGAACTACTCATTGACAACTGTCATATAGAAGGCTGATTTAGGCAGGAGTTGTCAATGGATTCTAAAACTGGTAAAAATTTCATATGGAGAAAGTATATTAAGTATAAGAATACCTCTCCACAAAACACTAATCAATTATAAAGGGGGAAAAGTTAATTTAAGGTGGGAAAACTAGCAGTCATCAAGATGACCAGATGATCAAGGGTATCATCATGGTGGTGGGACAGGTCAACGTCATGTGCTTCTTGATATGATGCATTGAAAGGCCACAGCATAGGATCCAACAAATTCTATGTAGTGAAGTTTCTGCAAAGAATGTGTATCTTGAACTGGGTAAAGAAGAAACAGGGTTACACTACAGAATGTAGGCCTGTATTCTTTAAAACTGCTAAGGGCATGAAAAGGAACTGTCCAGACTGGAGAAGATGTGACAGTAGTATTCCTGAACAGACTTTGGATCAGAAAGGAAAAAGCCATTGTTGGGACAGCTGGCAAAATTTGAACAGGGTGGTTGTATTGTACTGAAGTTGATTTGTCTGCTTTGGAGAGTTGTTACACAGAAGCATTTTCATCCTTTGGAAAATGTGCATTGATAGAATACAAAATCAGATGTTAATACTTAATAATAAAGCATATAAAACAAATACTCACCAATGACTTTGACAAAATAAGCATCTGCTTCAAAGTTATTTTTTAGGGTATGGATGGCAAAATCACTCTTTGTATACCCTTTGCTTAGTACTACAATGTCCAAGATTCCCTGGAAAAAATATAAAAATGGTAAGAACAAACTACTGGACTGACTGAAAAAAGTGATGAAAATGCATGACATGTTTATCATGTAAATACAGACCTTACTTATTAAACTTGATATTTAAAATAAAAATACTATTAAAAATATAAAACCTAGAATATTAAACTATAAATAAAATGAAAAAAAAAACACCTATAATTTAGATCTCTGAAGATAAATGTTACTCTTATGTATTTCCTTCCAGGCTTATCTGCATGAATTAAAAAAAAAAACTTATTTATTTATTATTCATGGTGCTGGGTCTCTGTTGCTGTGTGGGCTTTTCTCATTGCAGACAGCCTACACACCACAGTACTCTCCAGCTGCGTGCGGTGTGCAGGCTTCTTATTGTGGTAGCTTCTCTTGTGGAGCACAAGTTCTAGGTTGCGTGGGTTTCAGTGGTTGTGGCTCCCAGGCCCTAGAGCACAGGCCCAGTAGTTGTGGCACTTGGGATTAGTTGCTCCACAGCATGTTGGATCTTCCCAGATCAGGGATAGAACCTCTGTTTCCTGCATTGGCAAGAGGATTCTTTACCATTGATCTACTATGGAAGCCCCATGCATTAATTTTTAAAGGCCTTTGACATGGATTACCGAAGTGTTTCCAATCGTCAGAGAAAGAAGGTAACTTTTTATGTGCGCTGGTTCTTATCTCTTTTCCTAAAAAAGTGGAAAGCTTTGCTAATTTTATTGGGGGTAAAAAAGGTGCTCATTTAAACTTTCATTCTGCTGACTCTTAATGAGGTCAATCATTTATCCTATCTTTTCACATGTTAGTTAGTTAGTGTTAGTTACCCAGTCGTGTCTGACTCTTAGCGACCCCATGGACTGCAGCCTGCCAGGCTCCTCCGTCCATGGGATTCTCCAGGCAAGAATACTGGAGTGGGTTGCTATTTCCTTCTCCAGGGGATCTTCCCAACCTGGGAATTGAACCCAGGGCTCCTGCACTGCAGGCGGATTCTTTACCATCTGAGCTACAGGGAAGATCCATATTTCACATTAGCTTTTTTTACTCACATCTTTTTGTTTTTTCTGTAAGTTGACTCAATCATGTTGTTTTTCCAGCAGGAGTTTCTGGTGACTTGTATCAGTTTCAATAAACCCTTTTTATGTTGTGAGTGTGGGCTTCTTTGGTGGCTCAGACGATAAAGAATCTACCTACAATGCTGGAGACCTGGGTTCAATCCCTGGGTTGGGAAGATACCCTGGAGGAGGGCATGGCAACCCACTTCAGTCTTCTTGCCTGAAGACTCCCCAAGGACACAAGCACCTGGCAGATTATGGTCCATGGGGTTGGAAAGAGTCGGACACGACTGTACAGCCTGTTATGAATGTGGGTTTCCCAGGTGTTGGTGGTAAAGAATCTGAGTGCCATTGAAGGAAATATAAGAGACATGGGTTTGATCCCTGGGTTGGGAAGATCCCCTGGAGGCAGCCATGGCAACCCACTCCAGTATTCTTGTCTGGAGAATCCAATGGACAGAGGAATCTGGCAGGCTACAGTCCATAGGGTTACAAAGAGTTGGACATGACTGAAGCAACTTAGCAGGCACACACGCATGTTAAGAATGTTAATTATTTAACTCTTTCATAGCTAATTTATCTCCTAGATTTAGATGCAATTTTAAATTTCATTTATGTTTTTTTTAAAGTACAGAAATTAAAAGCTGATTTACAGTTAATTCTGTTGATTTTTCCTCTTGTTATATTTTTACCCAATTACTTTTAGGCTTGGAAATTGCTTATAAAAAGTCAAAAAAAAAAAAAAGTCAAACAACACAAGAGTTGGTAGCAGAGAGACAGAGGAAAACAAGGACCTGGAAGATACTTGTAATTGAAGATCAGCCTCCCATGAAAAGCAACTGGGTTTGGGTCCTCCAAATAAAACCAACTGGGTTAGCATTGGACATAGTTGTCCTGATGTAGATTTAACTTTTTAAAATAATCAAGTTATTTTACAAGGATATATTGTGACATATTAACTCTGGAATTTAACACATTTTTATCAGAATTTACTTTTTCCTCCAAAACTGGCTTTTGACATTAGAAAGAAGAAAACCAGGACCCTGTGTGCCTTTCCCAGGCCACCTGGCAACTGAGGACAGTCACAAGAATCTGGGGCAATAGATGCCACCTCCAGTTCACGAGGTTAAGAGAGAGTACACACTCAACTCATTCTTCTGTGATCCTGCTCAGGTTTAAGAGTTTGTCATCTGTCGGCTGTTGTTTTCTCTACTTGGGCACATGCACAATTGCCGTGAGCATAATTCTCTAGTGATTTCATCTAAACAAGCATAATATGAGATAAAGATGCTTTCATATTTCACTGTTCTGATCAGCCAGTGGTATCAATTAATTTGTTCTTTCTGTCATTTAACTTTAAAAGGGATTTTCTTTAATTAACTCATTTGCTTTCATTATCTCATCTATTGTCTGGTTAAACAGGGTGAAGTGAAAATGAGACAAGGTAGAAGGCAATTAGATTCCAAACACACAGAAGAGCTCTGAACTCACATCTTCGTAAATGTCAAAGAAGGTGGCAACCACTGCATCTCTGATTTGGTTTAGGTCCATCAGCTCCCAGTAGACTTTAAACATACGATGTGCCCCCTCACAGCTTGCATTATTACAAGGGACATTCTCCAGTAAAAAGGCCTGCTGATTGCTGTGAGACAAAGGAGAGGTATTTAGTTAATAATAAAACATATCAGTGCTGAGTAACATCAACTGTGTTATATTTCCTAGAATCAAAGAGATGGTAAATGGTATCTACTGAAGAAATATGAAAAAAATCTCAATGTCTTAATAATTGTTGTCCTAAGTCATAAAAAGCTTAAATTGTTGGCTATCCTTTTTCAGCCTTTGGCAAAAATCCTCAGGTTAGTCAGTTGTTGGCCTCTCTCTCTCCTTTTTTGGTTCCCAAGTCTCTCTCTCTGCTCTCCTTCGCTGCTCCACAGTCAGTGAACCCAGTGTTTCATTACTGAGTTCCTGGACACTGTCATAATCCCTTTAGACGTGTATAACTCCTCAGGTGAATAGCTGCATTTTAACTGGAGACTCCTGACATCCCTAAGTCTTACAAACCCTAAGCAATAAGTCTACAATGATAGAATTTTAGCTTCCCAGATGGATAGTAGGCTGAGCACCTTTCAGATAAAAGATAGAAAAAAAAACAACAAACTATTGTATTTTGCACAGCTATGAAATCCTCCCTTTTGACAATCTTACTCTATAGGCAATGTGCTTATGAATTTAGATTTTGGAATCAGACTACCTGGATTCAAATTCTGTTTCTGTCATTTAGAAGTTATGTGACCTTAAGAAAGTTATTTTACCTCTTAAAGACTCAGATCCTTATTTGTAAGCTGAGTAATAAGTACTAATAGAATTGTTACAAAAAAGAAATGAAATACGGACTGCAGAGCACTTAGAACAATTCCTGCCATCCAGTCCAATCTTAGTAAAAGTGTTTATACTGTTATCACTGTTATTAAGTAGTGTAACACCATGCCATGTAAACATATTTTCTTTAAATACAGAAATAACTTTAGTAAATAGTGTGATTAAGGAATGTAAATATTAGATGACTCCTGTATTAGGCATCTTCTAATATTTACATTCCTTAATGTCCCTTTATGTTACATAGAAAATAATAAGCTAAAAGGTTTAAATTTTATTACTGTTCAGTTTTTTCTAATTAATTATTTTAAATAAAACTATAAAGACATTTCTTTTTTCATGTGAAAATATTATTTTGGGTATTACTTTGGGTTTGGGCATTTTAGAAAAGAAAGTTCTACTGTAAGAAAGGTAAATATTTTAGTGTTCAAGAGAGTAATGAAACACAAGTAAAATATTCGTTTGATGTACTTAATATATGATTGGTTTCACAGTATTTTCCTAGTTAAAAAATTTTAAAACAAATAGTTTAAACTTACAGATTACAACATTTACATGGAACATTTTGAGGTGGTTTTGATCAAGACCTAACATATAATAATGTTCTTCCACCAGAAGGAAAAATAACTTCTACTTTGTCTCCTAATCACTGATTTTAAAATTCTATTTTGTAATGTTAGGTTGGTGCAAAAGTAATAGTACTTTTGGACTCTGGATTTTAAATCATTATAATTAGGCTCAAACACATCTTTATTAATAAAAACCGGAGCCATTTCAGTCAAAACATTTTTTCCAACAAGAAATAAATTTGCTTATTCCTATAGCATAAAAATCTGTGCTTTGGGAATTGACAAATTCTTGGAAAGCCTCTTCCGCCTCCTGTTGCTTGTGGAAGCATTTTCCCTGCAAAAGGTTGTTGAGATGCTTGAAGAAGTGGTAGTCGATTGGCCGAGAGGTCAAGTGAATATGGCAGATGAGGCAAAACTTCATAGCCAAATTAGTTCAACTTTTGAAACGTTGGTTGTGTGACGTGTGGTCAGTCATTGTCGTGGAGAATTGAGCCCTTTCTGTTGACCAATGCTGGCTGCAGTGTTGCAGTTCCTGGTGCATCTCATCAATTTGCTTAGCATACTTCTCAAGTATAATGGTTTTGCTGAAATTCAGAAAGCTGTAGTGGATCAGATCGGCAGTAGACCACCAAACAGTGACCATGACCCTTTTGTCAGTGCAAGTTTGGCTTTGAGAAGTGCTTTGGAGCTTCTTCTCAGTCTAGCTATTGAGCTGGTGGATATTGGTTGGTGTATAAAATCCACTTTTCATCACACTTCACAATCTGATTGAGAAATAATAGTTCACTGTTGTTGCCTAGAATAAGAGAAGATGATACTTCAAAACAACAATTTTTTGGTTTGTGGTCAGCTCATGAGGCACCCACTTATCAAGCTTTTTCACCTTTTCAATTTGCTTCAAATGCCAAACGATCATAGAATGGTCGATGTATCGTCCTTCAGCAATTTCTTGTGTTGTTGAAAGAGGATCAGCTTTGATGATCCTCTCAGTTGGTCGTTGTCAACTTCCAATGGCCAGTCACTGCACTCCTCATTTCCTTTGCAAAACTTGAACCACCACTCCACTGTATGTTCATTAGCAGTTCCTGGGCCAAATGCATTGTTAATGTTGCGAGTTGTCTCTGCTGCTTTACAACCCACTTTGAACTAGAATAAGAAAATTGCTTGAATTTGCTTTTTGTCTAACATCATTTCCCTAGTCTAAAATACATATAAAATAAACAGCAATATTTCATTAGCAAAATACATAAAGCAAGAAATGCACCTTAGAATGATGTATAACATAACCACATTTATTTAAGAATATATTCCACTATCAATTGGCAAAGTTCAACAGTGCAAAACTGCAATTACTTTTGCACCAACCTAATACCTTTTTACAGGTATTTACCCATCCAACCTTTTTAGCTAAACAATTTTACTATATATTTCACAGAAATGAAGAATACTCTATGTTGTTATTAAATAATATTAAAACATGAGAACCAGTGATAAAGGTTACTTTTCTTTTCTCTTTTTGGATATGCCATGCAGCTTGTGGGATCTTAGCTCTCTGACCAGGGATTGAACCTGGGCCCATGGCAGTGAAAGCACTGAGTCTTAACCACTGGAGAGCCAGTGCAGCCTTTCTACAATCTTCTATGACCAATGCATCACACTGGCAACATTCTGAGTGAGCACTTGTCTCTGGTTTCCCTTTTCAAAATGGGGATGCAAGGATTTCATTATTGTATTAAACTCTAGCCATAGTTTCAAATACACAATGTAACCTGCAACAAAAACTCTAATTGCATTTGAATAATTTAATATGTCATTTTAACTTCAGATATGAATTTGTAAAGATTACAAATGCTACATATCACAGTTCTTGGCTAAACGCTCACTGAACAGATTTGTCTTGTATTCTGCAACATGGGGTCTGAAAAATGTCAGTTCTTTTAAGCTCTAATGACCCCTCTAGGTAGAGCCCCACATCTATAAAAATAAAATTCCATTTAAGCCCGGGAAGACACAATACTGATTCATTAGGTTTGGAAACCCTTGGGGGGAAACAGTCTTGCTTCTTTGAGTCAATTGCTCTATGTTTTTTTGCAACTACACAATTACAACCAATATAACTTTTAAAAAACTATTTCAAAAGTTACTATAAAATTCAAGCACTAGAGACATTAAAAAAGTTGAAATCTTTTCTTTCCAGGGATAATCACTGTTGACAACTTAGCGAGCATCTTTCCAAACCTTCTTCTGTTTAAGTGCATATATCCTTAATAATAAAAAAAAAACCCAGTTGAGTTCTACTATACGTATGATTCTGCAATATTTTTCGTTCTACTCAATAATATAGCATACACATGGGGAAAAGGGATACAGTCTGAATGAGGACTGTTGATATCTATTTTGAAAATGCCCCCCAGGGAAGCTGTACCGATTTACACTCCTCAGCAGCAGCACAGCGCGCTGCCTATCTCCCCACACGCACATCCTTTTCAATACTTCCTCCATCGTACAGCTAAGTCATCATTCAGTTTCAATACCCTGCTACTGATAGTCAGGTTGTCTTCAACTGTTCCCTATTACACACACACACACATTATTTTTCATTGAGAATTTGTATAAGGGTTTCCAAATAAAGTCATCTAGTCAAAGGATATGCATATTTTGAATATCAACAGGTAAAGCTAAATGGTCTTCTAAAAAATGAACCAATTTATACTTCTAGTAGTATACAAGTATATCCTTCTTATCTCACCAATGTTAGTGACACTGCTTAGTTTTGCCAATTGGGTAGCTGAAAAATTATTTCACTTTCCTGATTATGAGAGATGCTGAGTATTACCTCTATGTTTATCATCCGTTCATATTTCTTTTAAGAACTGGTACTTTAATTTTTTTAATTATTGTTTTTTAGATCTCTGATTGTTAAGGGCATTAGCCCCTACCTGGGATTCTCATATTTTTACTTGTAAAATGAGGGTAAAAACAGTACATTACCTAAAATGGCTGTTGCAAGGATTAAATGATAAAATAAATGATAAATGGCTTATGGTTTAATATAGTGCCCAGTACATAGCAAAGAGCACTTTCAATATCTGCGGTTATTATTATACATGATGTTATTACTCTGATATGTTCTAAACATGTCACTCCAGCCTTTTATTTTGCTTTTTAATGCATGGTTTCTTTAACTAAGTGATTAATAATACATGAAACTGTTAGTCACTTATAGTCGTGCCCAACTCTTTGTGACACCATGGACTGTAGCCTAACAGGCTCCTCTGTCTGTGGAATTCTTTAGGCAAGACTACTGGAGTGGATGGCCATCATCTTCTCCAGGGGATCTTCCCAACTCAGGGATCAAAACTGGGTCTCCTGCATTGCAGGCAAATTTGTTACTGTTTAAGCTACCAGGGAAGCCCTATAGTAATACATAAATATTTGTTTATTTTTCTTATGTACTATAATAAATGTTAAAGAAAATCTATCAGGCAGATAGAAAAAAACACCCGAGGAGTATGTGCATTTACAAAAATGAATGAAGAGCAGTGAAAATGTGAAATACACAGGCAAACAGAAAAGATTTTCCTGTTATTTCAGTTCAGTTCAGTTCAGTTGCTCAGTCATGTCCAACTCTTTGCACCCCATGAACTGCAGCACGCCAGGCCTCCCTGTCCATCACCAACTCCCGGAGTTCACCCAA